AAAAAAAGATAAAAAAAATGGATGATAGATGTAGTATAAGGAAAAAATAGAGAGAGATATTGGTAAATATGTAATTGATTAGGGAATAAAAAAATACTTTAACCATAATTATGCTATAAAAAAAAGAACAAGCATGTACATTGTAACGAAAAACACTTTCTTCATAAACGAAACCTTGACTGTGAGATTGTTATCATTATTTTAACATTTTTTTGCTTTCATTGTTTGAATCGTTTATTGGTCGCATGAACGTAGATAAATATACAGATTAGTCATGAAACCCCAACATTATTATCTTCATTAGACTAGGACGACCCACAACTTTATCAGTTAAAAAAAACCATGAATATTTGCAATTGAGCATCACGCATATAAATTTTGAGTGCTAAGATTAAAAATAAAGAATGAAATAAGCGAAATTATAGTATAGGGATTTCAAATCATTACGTTGTTAAAACAAGAAATATATAAATTAAATGATGGTGGTCTGATATTTTTGTTTCAACTTTGAAGTGAATGAAAAATATACTGAATTCTAAAGCTTTTCAAAGAGAAAGGAAACGATGTACTACCACATCTCGTATAGACAATTCGATTTTATAAAGATCATCATTCATATCAATCTTACTTATCTATTGTACCATGATGATACAAAAATATTACATTAATATACAAAATTACCTTATAGTAATAGACGTTTGGTAAAAGTAAGTTATACACGATTTCGACACAGAGTACTTCATGAAAACAGATGATATTTTCCCACCGAAAAATATTTTTTTTATTGTTGAGCAGTCATGACTTTGCACCAACAACCAATTCATCGACTTTATAATGTAAGCATATGATTTGAACTGGTTCTTGTTTGTCGATTTTTCCTTTTATATTAAATTGGGCATTTTTAATCTTCGTATTCGTTAAGTTAATAAATAACATAATAATTTGATATGGATATCAAAGTATTTCCCATATCAAAGATAAAGATGACGTAACCACATTATGATGTGATATTTAACACAAACAGACATTTCGTTAAAATTGATATTTTTATTATTTTCACCTAGGCTATCAGAGTGGCCCGGGTCACTTACCCGGTCGGACAAAAAAAAAAAAAAAAAAGTGTTGAACTTTATTTTAATTTTAAATTTTGTAAAGAATTTCGATATGAAAGTTTTTTTTTTTTTTTTTTTTTTTTTTTTTTTGCTAGGACCTTCCCTGGTTTTTGCATGACCGGGCTGTCCAGGAAAATAGGGTGACCCGGGCGGCCTGGATGATAGCCTAAATTTTTACAGAAAAAAAAAAAAAAAATACAGTATTTTTTTGCATATTTTTATGTCGACCACATTAAAAAATTGACCCCCTAGGACGCATGGTGATCTGATCTACCTTAATTTTTTTTTTTTTTTTTTTTTACTCTCGGACAGGGGTACCACCTCGTACGTACGGAGGTCCCCGGGCAAACCTCTGTACGTACGGGCGTTCGGGGTCCCGTACGGGGTCCGACCCCGATGGTGTTCAGCCCCCGGCAAAAAATATTTCGGAGCCTAAAAATAATTAGTTTTCTTTGAGTTTGTTTTTGTGAGTTTTCTACGACGTGAGGTACATGCCCATAAATTTTAAAGTCATTTGGTTAAGCACAATAAGAATTAAAAATCGTCAAAGATGGAGGTGTCAAAACGTGCTCGCCCACGTATTTTTTCACTTTTTACTTTTTGTTTTCACTTTAGTTCGGGGTCTAAATAATTTTTTTAGTTTTTGAAACTTTTTTTGTGGATTTTGTATTATGTGAAGTACACATTCATAAATTGTCAGGACATTAATCGCCAAAGATGGCGGTGTCGAAAACATGCTCACCCACTCACTAAATTTAATTCTCTTTTTATTTTTATTTATTTTTATTATTAGTATTTGCTTTCCGTATTTTATTTTTATTTCAAATTTGGTAAGGAATTTGGATGTAATGCTCAGACAAATCTTGTTTAATTTTTTTTTTCCATAACATTTGTTTTTTTCCATATTTTTATATGAATTTTTTTTTTTTTTTTTTTTTGGGGGGGGGGGGGTCTGCGTTTGGCCCGAACGGCCGAACGCATCTCCAAGGGGTCCCATACATTCGGGCGTTCGGCCCATCCCGAACGACGGTTACCCTGCTCTCGGATGTATTTTGATGATACTTTATGTTGAGATACATCAGATGGTCCGGAGTCCCAAGACGCTAGAACATCAATGGTCCAATGTCGTAGGGAAAAAAATGCGCAAAAAACATTTTTTTTTTAATGTCAAATTTCGTAAAAATAATAAAAAGTGTCAATTGTTACGAAATGTCAGTTATAAAACCCTTTGTGGATATAAGAGTTGTTAGAGGTTAATTAAGAGTATGAACACACTTTTAGGGTTATAAAGTGTTTTCGGGATATTATAAGACATTATTTCGTTTTATAATTTGACTTTTTCGCACGTGTAAATTGTTGTGTGGTTTTATTTATTTATTTATTTATTTTGCGTTGTACTATATAATGTAAGTTAAAATGCACTAGCGTATAAATATAAGTTCGTATAGATGATAGGTTGTCGTATCTGGTGTTTAAAAATAACTTATAAACTATGAGAATACTAAAGAACCTCGTGAATGTTGCTAAGGATGACATAAAATGTTGAGACCCACTGCAATTATAGGAAAAAAATTCACAAGTTTTTACAACCGAAAACTCACGAACTACAAATAACCATTTAACACTTATAATATTGCTATCGTATCATGGTTCAACTATTGAATGGCTAAAAAACACAATGGGTGACAAATATTTTTGTTTTCTTAATATGAGTTCATAGTTTATGAAAATAATCAGGTCTCTACTTGTGGGATAACATTGTTAAAACAATATAACGAGGTCATGCTTGTATCCCTTCAGCATGCAATTGTTCAATGGACACTCAAGCATGTCAACATGTAAGCAACCATGGGTTTATAGAGTGAACGTCAAACTGGGGTTTTGCCAAAGTTTGAAATGGTATATTTAAACTCTACAAGACATTACCAAAATTGCAGTAGGAATAAAAAAATATTGTATGGGATAATGGGTTTCTCTTACCTTGAATGCGACAGTTAGTATAAGACAAAAATGAAACTCGATACTGTATAGGGGAAATATTTTTGAAATAATAAAGTAAGTAAATTGAATTAAAAAATATGTTTCGTTAAAGTACTAAAAGGCAACAACAACGAACGAAACCTTAGCGTAAGCAAGCATAATATGCATTGTTGAAAGATGTTGAGGGAGTGGGAGAATGAAGAGAGTATTCAAAGATGTCTGGAAATATAGGTGATCCAAAATCGAATAAAAAAGGGGATCGAGGAAAAAAAGAAAAAAATAATTGCGAAGATATAACGAGTGGTGAAAAATGAGACATATGCAAGAAAGGGGAGAAAGTGTAACGTGGATAAAAAATGATAACATTTTATATCAAGGGAAAAAGACATGAAGAAAAAAGGCGACAAACTTTCAAGATGAATTTGTAGGGGCGAGGGATGGATCAATTAGGGATCGAAAAATGACATCGATTCCGATTCATAGAATGAGGCGAGAATGGAGATGGAGGAAAGGTAAAACAATAGACTGCTTATGGGGCACAAAAAAATAGAGTGAGTGGCTAAAGAGTAGAGTTGCACATTGATTTCTTCGATGCATGCCGCACAACTCTGTCCTCCCCATGTCGCTTTCTCCTTCTTTCCCTCTCTTACGTGCTTGACTGTGCAACTGTGTGTGGGGGGGAGAAAGAGCAATGTAGATGGGAGGGTAGTCCGAGTTGCACAAGTCGGTCCTCGCCCTCACCCCCTCCCTCTCCCCATCCCCACTCTCTCTCCCTGAGCCCCCTCTCTTTCTCTCTCTTATGCACATGCGCAACCGTGGTGTGTGTGTGTGTGTGTGTGTGTGAGAGAGAGAGAGAGAGAGAGAGAGAGAGAGAGAGAGAGAGAGAGAGA